TGTCAGGGCGACCAATGGTGGTATCCACTGGGATGCAGTCCATGGAAACCATACGTCGTGTCTACAAGACAGTAAAGGAGCACAACCAGAAATTTACTCTCCTGCAGTGCACCAGCGCCTACCCTCTGGATCCTAAAGATGTCAACCTCAGTGTGATCAGGGTAAGACGAATGAACATCATCATCATCTCCTCTGGGTCAACTATGGTGAAATAATCAATATGCCCCTATTTCCCACTTTTTTTTTTACATTTTTTTAATACAGTAATTCATTCTGACTGTGTGTTCTGCCTTTGTTTTGTCTAATTTAGTTTACATTTTAAAAAGATACCCACCCTGTGAACTTGACTCTTTAGTTTCCACTGCCATTTTAGGATTGATTTTCCACTTCAGATTTTATAATTACTGGGATGTATCAGACATGACTCCCTTGTAGAACATCACACAGATCCAATTTGTAACCAGTGTTAACACTTACAGGTACATAATTGTTCAACTTTATTTTTTAGTTAGACTGGTAGACAGTGAAAAACATCCTTTCAGGATCATGATGGACATTCCCAAAAGAAGCAGAAACAATATGAAATGTAATTGAAAATATTTTTGCATTGTTTCTCACATACAATCATATTGTTTCTCACATATGATTGTAAAAGACCACTGTGTAATCAATTTATTTCAACAAAGTAACTGTATTCTGAATATCACCTTTTGAAATAGTAACTGTAACTGAATACAGTTACTCGTATTTTGTATTTTAAATACGTAACACCGGTACATATATTCCATTACTCCCCAACACTGTTGACAGATAATGTTGACAAACTACATTAATGTTTTTCACAGATGCTTAGCACATAATTATTAACATATATCATGAATGAAAGCTTCATTGCCGTAGTATACAGAGGATACAAATGGCCAGTGCACCGGGCATTTCATGGCACATTATTATAAACCATAGCAGTTTTATAGTACACAACAGCTAGCTGAACAATTACTTTCAAATCCAGCCCCTAAATGATATATGATTTTACAGTATCATATAACACAATCACAAAGTAGGTGTTGATTCTGGAGCAAAGACACCTGTCAATGAAAACCAGTGATTGTGTTGGGCAATACAAGACATTTAACTTTAATATGCTCAGAGTTAGTCTGTGTAATACTATAGGGTTTTTTGTTTTTTTTTTAAGAAATACCAGGAGGAATTTCCAGATGTTCCAATTGGATATTCTGGTCATGAGAAAGGGATCTACATCACTGTGGCTGCCGTGGCGATGGGAGCAAACGTTGTGGAACGCCATGTGACCCTGGATAAGACCTGGAAGGGAAATGACCATGAGGCATCCCTGGAGCCCTCCGAGCTGGTGGAGCTGGTCCGAGCAATACGACTGGTGGAAACAGCAATGGGGTCACCAGTCAAGCAAATGTTACCATGCGAGAAGACCTGCCATGATAAGGTCAGTTTGAATCATTTGACTTGAGTTTTGAAATTCTATCATGTCATAACACTATCAAACCAGTCATTGTTAACTGTGTTTACTTCCACCCTCTTCAGTTCACTGAACATCCATAACTGTACAAATTTGCAAAACATACATGAACTGGATTAAAATATATCTTTTATGTATTTATATTATTTTTCTACTCCAGTTGGGCAAGTCAGTCATTGCTAAGGTGAAAATCCCTAAAGGAACAGTGCTGAGTCTGGACATGTTTGCAGTGAAGGTTGGTGAGCCAAAGGGTATCCCTCCAGAACATATGCAGCAGCTCGTGGGCAAGAAGATCAAAGTGGACGTTGAAGAAGATGACAGCATCTTGGCAGACATGATAGAATAAAGGATCTTCCCAAACTATTGGGACAGAGAGGCAGGCAAATAGAGAAGGATAGAAAATAAAATAGAGTTACATAGGCA